GAGACAACGGATTACTGCCTAAGTTGAATTATATTTTTTTATGGTATATTTTGTAAATCAAATAGGCATTAAGTTACATTCAAAAGAAGATTTAGTTTAATTTAACTACGCTCAAATAAAATTTATTAACTATAAGTTGTGGAAGGTGCGAGAGAATTCCTTATCTCTTCATCTCAATGATTATTTTCGACGTCGGATGCTGTTGATAAGATATCAGAGTGGCACGCTTTATTAAATAAGGTGTTATTCACAAAACTAGTTTTATGACGATGAATTATATAAAATAATGGACAATAAAAGTTCTTTTATCCTGGTGAGCGGTTATTCTCCGTTGGATTTTTTTTATGTACGATGATGGCAAGCGAGCTGGCGGTTCACTTGATGTTAAGTCATAACCGCCGCCCATGAACATTTGGAACACCCAATGTAGGGTAACAAATGCGCTGCACCTTTCAATAAAGTCGACCCCTGTTACCTCACTCACCCAGACGGAACGAATAACACTTTCATTTCACGACGGGGCTCTGCGAGGTGGTGGTACTTCCCCGGACGGAGCTGCCCATTCGACATGCAACAGCGAAGTCCGGGTTAGTATCACGATCTCACAGAAGCACAGCTTGAAGTAGATATATTGCATTTCTGCATTTCGTTTGGTGAGTGAGGTAGACGGGGCCCACTTTGTTAAGAGGTGGGAACGCATCTACAACCCATCGAGTGTTGCACATGTCCATGGGCAGGCGGTTATCACTTAACATCATGTGACCCGCCAGCCCAATTGCCACTTTCTCACATAAAAACAAACAAACACAACTTGACACTTCCCGTATACACTTCATTGGTACATGCGTCATACGCATTGAATATAACTCAAATTCTCCAAGGTCTGATAATTTCTTGTATTTACGCGATAACGCATTACTGAATGAAACAATTTTTACGAATTTATCGCGTTCATTTTTACGAGCCCTTTTAGCGTTCATGGTCACGGGACAGAATGAGGCGTTGCAAAGTAAAGACTACCGATACTTTTTAAGTTACTAACTTTGTGTTGATCTACGCCAAGAGAGGTGCTAATTGTATCTTGAATTGAAGTAGTGGTTCGTTTGGGCCTAGGTTGCTTCTTCAAGGTCTTTTCCAAACAATAGCAGTATATTTCGAGTAACAACAGATAAAACGTAAATAATTATAGGGGACAATGGTCCTAAATCTGGCACGACATTGCGGCGGCTAGCATGCTGACCGGTCTATAGGAGAATTTAGAAATTCGAAATGTGCACATGACTTAGGAATAAGGGATACACATTACTTGCCAGTGTTGTCAGATTACAGCGACGAGATGTGTTAGTGAAATAAAACCTTTTTACAATAATATTGAACAATTGATCGAGAGCCAAGACATAATGAGTTTTGACACATGCATGACTTGGCTGCTTTTATACAGGATTCGTGGTATTCTAGTTTTATTTGGTCTATATTATTAATATTTAAATCCAAATATTTACAATATAAACGCTAAATGACATATTTTCAACTAAATTACATTATTTTATTTACATTCACGGTGTTAGGGCCAAGCAGTAGCCTCGGCTGTTGCACGAATGGGCAGGCTCGTCCGGGCAGGTACCACCACAGAAGACCGTCGTAAAGTGGAAGTATAATACTCGCTTGGCAACTTTTCACACAAAAAAAAAATATGTAATGAACCTAGTTCACGCGGCAAGGTGCCAAGAACGATAGCTGTATTTCCTCACTGAATAGTTATGGTTAACCTTTCAACGAGAAAAGAATCAGCCCTCTTCTCATCAGTCGCGGCGATAAGTCTAGGACGACCAGAAATTTCGATGCACTGAGACCCCAAGGACATGGTTTCAAAATCAAACGGCACAAATACACAACGGGTCCTTTCTGGACGGGTTATTACATATATATTTGAAGGTGTCAAAATTGCTGATATTTATAGCAGCACCCTTACCGTCTTAAAATGCTTTTCGTTCTTTGTTCGAAACTGAACGTGTAATACTGTTCTCGGGATCGAGTTCCGTCTTAAAATGCTCTTCGTTCTTAAAATGACTCTGAACGTGTGACACTGTTCTCGGGATCGAGTTGAGTCAACTCCGCATACGACGATCGTATCATTATACTGCGTGTATAAAACTCGATAAGGTAAGTGAATCACGAATGAACTCGCTATATTTAGAGTCGCATATCTCTTTTGTATAAAGTATTCTTCCACATATTATGAGCATTTTTTATCAGGCTACAGGCCGGACATTTTAATTGTCAAGCTAGATGATGTTAAGTGGATACCGCCGCCAGTGGATATCTACAGCATCTTATGGGCTTGCAAATGCGTTGACAACCTAACTCGGACGAGCCTGCCCATTAGTGCAACAACAGAAGCTGTTGCGTGGCATTACCACAGTTATAAAATTATACTATTCGTTTTTCGTGTTTTTTAAAATACGTTAACCGATTATTTTACCAGATATTAAGTGTTTATTGCTATCCATGGACATCTGTACCCTGGACTGGTTGTACATGCGTTGGAAATCTTCAAGAAACATTGCAGGCCAATTTATTTAAAAGACTGGCAACTCTTTAATAATATGTCCGAGTGTTCACCAAGCACCTTATGGTACCTATATAAACTCCACAACCTGTGTCATAAAACAATTGTTAGGGCGGTGACTCATCATCACAATTAGCTCGTATCGTACCCACTACTAGTGTGCACTCGCCTTTATGCGGCCGGTCGAATAACTTCGCCTAAATACCAGTTTGATTGCGTCGCTCAACTTTATCGTCGACGCTAAACAAATCTCTTTGTATACCCTGACAGAGACTGCAAACATTATATATGTTGTAAAGCAAATCAATTGAACATTGTTGGATGGGCGTTACGTAAGGTCTCAATATGTTTGGGCGCAGAGAAATATGTACCTTATGACGATTTCGCTAGGTATGATAATATAAAACTATTTAAGTCTTTACAAGATAATCGTACATATTAGGCATTTATGAATACTAAAAGTTCAGATAGGAAATATTTTACCGCACTTTTAATATCTCGTTTCCTTGTGTGTCTGTCAGGTACAAATTTAGTTATAGGTAGTTAACTAGAAGTACCTCAGTTCCACTTCACGCCGGTCTTCTGTGAGGTCCTGGTACTCACCCGGACGGGCCTGTCCATTCGTGCAACAGCGATATTTATCTTCTGCCCTCATAATTGGATATTGAAAGCTTGTTGATTATGCCGCCAATAATGGATCAGTTATGCAACATATGCAACAGTCGCGATACCGATTACGTTTCGAGGGCAGCTATAATCCGCTGCTCAACGCGAGTCGGGGATCAATATCGGATTACGATTCCGAGTAATTGAATCCGCTTGGTCGAGTGCGACCTGCTCTTCTAGGAACGGACACTGACATATAGGGCCCGGATAGAATGTTTATTTATAAAGCCATATCTTCGCGGAACTCGCGTCAACACTTGGAGCGATAATAGCAAACGTCCAGAACATTTATGTATGTACATGGTAGTGTCACTGAGGACATGCGACAGCATCTGTTGTTGCACGCTCAAGCAGGCTTGTCCGGGGAAGTACAAGTGACGTGGAATTGTTACACTTTCGCGTTTCGTTTGTGAGTTTTTTTTTTATGGGAAATAATCGACAAACGAGCAGGCGGCTCAACTGATGGTAAGTGATCACCACCGCCTATGGACACCTGCAACACCCGAGGGCTCACAAATGCGTTGCCGGCCTTTAGGAAAGAGTATGCTCTCTTCTTGAAGGTTCCCAGGTCGTAACGATTCGGAAAGACCGCCGACGGCAGCCGGTTCCAACGAGTAGTTTTGCGAGGGAGGAAATGCCTTGAAAATCACTCTGTTGTGGAATGCTGGACATCGAGGTGGTGTGGATGTAATTTTTGGCTTTGGCGCGATGTCCGATGGTGAAATTCAGCCGCCGGGATCAATCCAAACAATTCTTCGGAACACTCCCCGTGATAGATGCGGTAGATGATACAGAGTGATCCAACATCTCTACGCAGAGCCAAAGGATCAAGCCGATCGGAAAGACTTTGATGAAATATCTACAGTCAAATAACAAATAAAAATGACCTCCTGTACATCTAATTTTACATGTAAACGTAAATCTTAAAGTGAACAAATAAAAATCAGGATTATGGCTCACTATCGATGAGCGGTTTGTAGCCAGTTACGAGTCCGATATAACCTGCCTGTTCCGAAAAGGTGGATGAGTAGCAGCTGGATTTAAATGATTTTATTACGTTAATATGTCCTCATGGACATATTAACGTAATAAAAGTATAACAAAAAATAAGATGTAATGTCTTACAAACTACGTGTTACAAGAGAGAAGTCAACAAAAAAAAAATTGTGGCACTACGGTCTGTTGTTTTTCAGTGATAGTTTTAGTATTCTGGGCTAGTGAAAATAGATAAGTTAAAGTCACTATTTTATGGGTTTCAGCAAATAAATGTACCGTACCGTCATATGCCGACGCGGTGAAAAAATCGCAATAATTTAATAATATATCAGAATATGTCCTGATATATTATGGAATTATTTTTACAGTACAAAGTATAGTACAGAGTACAAAGTAACAGATACAATATACTATTCTGTTGCCTATAAATAAATATAACATAATATATGAAGACGCAGACGTTAGAAAACACTATGTTCATCACATAACATTTTCCAGTAGTGGGCATCGAACCCACACCCTCTGGCGCAAGGGAAAGGTTCACTATCCACAACGAGTTTCGAATTTATATACGGCTTCATGTTTACTTCACCCCATTGGGCTATATCATTGTTTATTAAAGCACTGACGTGGTTGCGAGGCTAATAGAAAGTTGCCTTGGCCGGTTGTGAATGGTCACTTACCGGCATTGAAATAATAAGCTTACTATCGACGTGTGTAAACATGTGAGCCGCGGTGGTTCAGTGAGCGCTCTCCCATTTCATTGCGCATGAACGAGGGTTCGAAACCAGGACAGTACGTAATCCTTATTGGTAATTCCGAATGCTGATCTATCACGCTTGAAATAACCTCTATTAAAGTTAAAATTAGAGACGTTTATCGGCACTAATTTTAGTGTCCTTCGCTCAGTATTAAGACATAATTATAGACGTAAGAAAACTTATTTGATATGAGCAACAAAAAGGGTAGTAAAAAATCAAATAAGATGCAATGCCTCTATAGATACCTCTAAAATGTTTTTAAAATCATCTTCAACAGTTTTGAGGTTATGACTTTTGGCTGTAGTGAAAACTCTATAATTTGTGATGGATTAATGTATAGGGTTATACTTTAATAAAATTGTCTAGTCGACTTCGATCCGAGCCAACATACGCTTGTCACCGGATGGTATTATTAGTGAACTTTCTAGAGATTTAACTTAACCGACTAGCTTTCCTAGTTATGTTTCCGTTAACTATGCCCAGATTTATGGCAGTCTTGCTATTTTCACGCTACATCCACAAACTGGTGGCACAAGATTGGAAACATTATTATATTATACCGAGTCCAGTTCCGAGCAACTGCAGTCGAGTTAACTCCTTCCTTTATTGCTTAAATATTATTTTATTTAAGTTTAAAATTCGCTTATTGATCAATTACGTGATAGCATTGTGCTAATAAACGACTCTGAGTGCGGGTGCTTATCGCTTGGCTCTAATGGAATGTCATTAATAATCAGAACAATCATTTATTCATAAAAACATAGGCGTAGAAAAGGTTTTTGTTTACTCTAAAGAGCGTACAAATGTTGTACAGCGTCCGTAAGAGGTTTAAAATTAATAGTTAAATAAAAGTTTATGTTATATAAATGTAATAATTTACATATGGATGCAAATTAGAAACTAATTAAAAAAAACATTACTTACATTTGGCATAAAGTATTGCCATAAAGTAGTATTTATTATTACAATATTACTATATTATAATATAGGTAATTATTTTTTTGTGCACAAAATTAATTATGTTGTAGGTATTTCATTTCCCTTATATTTCAATCGGCTTCAGATTATGGCTTTTTAGGGTGTCTACATAATAATGTAATTAAATTCACTGTCCGGTTGCATTCGGTGTTACGAAACGAAAATAAAAATGACAATCATCGAATCACGTAAGTTCTTACAAAATATGATCAATAACGCATGTACGAAATAATTGGCAAACTCGCGACCGTACTATTCCGTTAAAAAAGGGTAAAACGGGACCCTATTGCTAAGACTCCGCTGTGTCTGTCTGTACTTCTGTCCTCAGGCTATATATGTATATCTCATGAACCATGATAGTTAGTTGAAATTTTCATAGATGATGTATTTCTGTTGCCGCTATAATATGTATTATGTTGCACGAATGGGCAGTCTCGTCCGGAGAAGTACCGCGGCCTCATAGAAGACCGGCGTGAAGTGGTAGTGTTAAATTTTCGCGTTTCGTCTGGTGAGTGAGGTAACCGGGGCCCACTTTTTTTAAAAGTGGCAACGCATTTGCAGCCCTACGGGTCTTGCAAATATCCAAGGGCGGCGGTGTTACATCAGGTGAAACGCCAGCTCGTTTGCCACTTTCTCACATAAAAAAAGAAAAGAAAAAGTGATAGAGGTAACCGGGACTCACTTTTTTAAAGGTTGTCAAAGCATGTCATAGCAAGGCGCTATACACTTAACATCAGGTGAACCGCCTGCTCTCATGACAAACTAAAAAAAATGCAAGAATATCATTTTCAATGCTTAAATGAAGTTAATTTTATTGAGCAACAAAATCCACAACCCGTAGTTTATACAGCGAGCCGTTACCATCGCGACAATAAATATGAACACACATATAGCGGATAACTTTTTAGAGTTGTATTAAACATTTAAATTCTTTAAACATCAAAATAAAAAAAAAATTATAAACACAGTAAAATTTAATAACACAGGGTTATTAAATTTTACAAAACGATGAATTTTAGAACACACTAACACCTTACCTGTAAAAGCGTAACGTAAAATTCATTTGTAAAGGTCACAAAGCATATGAATGGGTTGAATGAATTTAAAGAGACAAAACATACTGTTAGAAGGAGAGGCTTGTAATACGACGCTGTGGCGCGAGTTGTATAGGATTTTACAAATTTTGTTTCTTTTTTACTTGATTAGTTTGTTTGAAAAATATTTTTTTAATTATGGATTTTGTTTAACGTTAATATTTTTTTATGATTATTGGCAAGTAGCGTTAGACGAGTGTTCATTTATTGTCGCGATGGTAACGACACGCTGTATATGTATGTATATCACATATGCTCAATTTACAGCCAAGAAAGGATTTGCATTTTATAGTTAGAACATATAAAAAAATTGAGTAGTTTACGAGCGAACGATGTGAAATGTTAAATAAATTCACGTTAAAAAGAATTTGAACATCAATGAATCTGACTGAATTGGAACTTTGGCTCGAAATTTAACTGTACAAAAAATTGTTTTCACATGATATAGCTTCTAATACAGTTTCTTATCTCGCAGTCGTATGGAATCGGTTATCCCCAGATAAACCAAGCACCACGGTTTCACAGAAGACCGATTACCGATTCCATACTAATATTATAAATGCGAAAGTAACTCTCTGTCTATCTGTCGCGCTTCCACGCCAAAACTACTGAACCGATTTAAATGAAATTTGGTACACAGATAGTCTAGAGCCTGAGAAAGGGCATAGGCTATTTTTTATTGGAAAAAGGGTTATAAAGGGTTGTTAAAGGGGATGGATATTTATTAAAGGGCTTCAACGCGAGCGAAGCCGCGGGCGAAAAGCTAGTTGTAATATAAAGCCTATTAGAAACACGAAAGAATCCCGACATAAAAATATATGACGTAGGTATACTCTGATAAAGCATAGAGCACACTGTAACAAGTTAAGCGTTAATCGTAACGCGTTTTTCTACTTAGCGATTGCGTTATCAATTTCGTTTAATCGACGCGATATAAAATTGTCTGGCGAGTTAGTGGCGTGCCGGAGTCATTTCGCTTCCAACTTAAACCTTATGTCTTGGGGGTAAGGTTTAAATTAAGTACAGTTTTTTGGGTAAATTTAATATTTCGTTACGTATTACCGCCGTTATGTTTAGACAACGATCGATCGCGAATGAATAATTGCCTCTTAAATATATACAATGAGCCACTATTTGTCGTAACGGTTAAAATATTGTGACTTTTTGATTAGATACTTTATTAATGACGCTGAAGAAATAATCTGAACATTTTATTTTTAAAAAATCTAGAGAAAATCTTTAAATTAAGTTGTGTAATACCTAGTTTTTTCTTTAGCGATTTATTCTACACGAATACTTTGAGAGATGTGCACACGAAGCCCACGCCCACCCCTAAGATTGCAGATATATTGCCACCTTTTAATAAAGTGGGAACCAGCTACCTCACTCACCAGACTGAACGCACAAGTGTAACGCTACCACTTCACGTCGGTCTTTTGGGAGGTCGTGGTAATTACCTGGACGACCTGCCCATTGTTGCAACAGCGAAGACGTTGCGTGGCCCTACCTTAAATTTATCTCTCCACATGCGATATTAAAATGGTATTAATGATTTATTTATCTATTTAAACTTTCTGCACAAACATTTATGTACAAAGGCGGACTTAATGCCATCAGCATTATCTCCCAGTCAACCTTGGGGTGGTCCAGATAAGTTAAGGTAGGTGCATTTATTACCTGATCTACGACAAAGGAGATCTTTCTCTTGCCCTTATCCCACCTAGGTGGGGTCGACAAAACATATAGATAGACATATAGATCTCTGCAAGACAAAAGAGATCTTCTTTCTCTTGCCGTTATTCCACCTATGTGATGTCGGCATAAAATATAAATCATGCCGTTATTTGTGTTGGCTAGGTTTTTTTTTACAGCCGACCGCCTGCCCAAGGAGGTCCCAACCAACACCCAGAATAAGACCAATTACCTGTTGGTCACTCAAATACATGTCCCGTGTGGGAATCGAGCCCACGAGCCGTACAACCGAGCCAACAAGACAAAGGAGACGGTACGACGAAATATAAACACGTAAGGAAAAAGACTTAAATTTATTGCGCAGCGAAGCTGGAACGAATCTATTTTAACCTTTCAAACATTGTGGGTATTTGAAACAGTGGAACGTTTAGACCAAAGTTTATGTAAACATAAAAGACTCGATGATCTGCGATCTGCCTTGAACCCGTTATGAAATTCCTTTTGCGTGACCAAGCCGACAGAATTGAAGATCTTGTAAAACGATTAGAAAGCAGAGAGCAAAACTTAAATTTCCAGAAAACAGTTAAATTATAAACATATGCCGTAAAAATTTGTTTTGCCACTTTTAAAAAAACCTGTGTGAAAATAATTTACGTGGATGTCCCATATTTTTTTAAAAGGTGGTCACGATTACTCCTGAAAAAAAATGGACATACCGAGACCGGGTTTTGTTTATTATCTTGATAATAGCAATTTAACATCAATAGCCTGATACCCGTAGTTTATTATTTAAATGGTTTTTATAATTGAGCAATCTGAGTTCAATCCCCGGTGCCGGCACCAATGAAATTGTTGTGGTTCACCTGATGTTAAGTGATTACCACCGCCCATGGACATTTGCAACACCAGAAGGATTGCAGATGGCAAAGGCTAACTCTAAAAAAGTGGGTTTAAAATATATAGTTTAAAAAAATTAGAATTGTACGTGAAAACTACAATTAACTAGTAACTCCAATTGCCCAAGTTCCACGTGACCACGCCAAAGTAAAGCCACAAGTCATCTACTGCGTCGTAATCACTTACACACAAGCACTCCACCAGACCTCGTGTTGTACCGTAGCTCCTTAATGGCTTCGTTACACACAACTGTTAGCTCACGCTAATGGCCAAATGATTACGGACGCACGCTCGACGCACCTACAACGACGACGTGCGTTTGGTGGTTTTGCTTTTATTTTGAGACGGTGGCAAGTGACCTGGCGGTTCACCTGTTGTAAACTATAGCCGCTGCCCGTCGACAGTTGCAACACCCGCACGGTTGCAGATGCGTTGTCACCTTTTAATAAAGTGGGCTACCTCATTCACCAGACGAAACGTAGAAGTACAACACTTCCGTTTCACGCCGGTCTTCTATCAGATCGTGGTACTTGTCATGCTCATTAGTGAAAGCACCAAGTTTGTGCAAAGTAAAATTTAGATATTTATGAATGACTACCGGATTGTCAACACGTTCTGTTTTTTAGGGAATAGAATGGCATTTTTTTTTGGAACAAAAAAAACTTTGTTTTTTATTTCAAAATACGATTATGCTACCGAGTGTGAACCTCCTGTGTAAGTATGGGCACTTCTCAAAAAATCTCCCTGTAGATAAATATTAAGATATTTCAGATATTATCTTAAATACGCCTGTCCTTACACTTTTGAACCTTTAGTACGTAGCAATCTTCTCTTAAGTCATTAAAAACATAATAACACAACACACGGAAGGACTAACTCCTACGTTATATCGTTGTATTCATCAATCATGACATGTCTTTTTTTATCATGACCTTTACATGTTTATTTACTAACTTTATATACACTTAAATATGTATGCTAAATGACTAAGAAGTTTACACATGTATTTCTTCTATATAATTATGTGTATATCATTTTGTCATTTAATCTATGTTAAGTAGACCAAGACAGAGAGCTTAGGGTGTTTTTAACCAGATTTTTTTGTTATAAATCAAAAAATATTGAACATTCAACTGTTCTGCCTTATCCGTATTACAGTATGAGTACGTATTTCGTATTATAAGTAGGTACATAAAGAAAAAAAAAATAATAAAAAATTTATATTACTTCTAGCGAACCGGGTAGACGTTGTCCTGTATACACGACTTAAATCCGATACTTAAAAAAATAATTGTGAAACTTAACCATTCTCGCATCGACCTGAAGACACAAAAAATTTCACTAAAATCGGTCCAGCCATTTAGGAGTCCAGTGACATACACACGAACAGAAGATTTATATACATAAAGATACAACGCAGTAAGTAGGTAAGTTAAGACAACCGTCCGTTTATGAATCCCAACACCTTAGTGATGAGGCTAACAGGTTCTTTAAGATTTTAAAATTAGAAGTAAACGAGGGATAGAGATGAAGAATTTTAAAACCTTAAATCGGGAAAACGAGATCCGTTGACAATTTAAATACAACCCAGTTACAGTCTGAATCAGAGTTATAAAGAGTGTGTATTCTGAGGTATCGCAAGAGTATGATTGTATTCTGTATCACAAGTTCAACTGTGGTAGGGCCACGCAACCGTGTTTACTGTTGCACGAATGGGCAGGGCCGACCACGTAAGTACCACGACCTCACAGAAGACCGACGTAAAGTAGAAGTGTTACACTTCTGCGTTTCGTCTGGTGAGGGAGGTAGCCGGGGCGCACTTTATCAACAGAAGGCAACGCATTTGCAACCCTACGGATGTTGCAACTGTTCAGGGCGGCGGTTATCACATAACATCAGGTGAACCGCTAGTTCGTTCGTCACTTTCTCACATAAAAAAAGTCTAATTGTGATGACACGGTAAGGAAACACGTTTAGTACTATCTCTTAAGAATTCATGCTGCCTGCCAAGTTGCCAGCGTTTTTACGACCCGTAGTGGCGACAGACAGTCTGAGTACCCTCCGTTGCAGCCATTGATATTTCAGTGTTTCGTAAAATAATTTTTACTACATGAACATTTACCAATGTTATGAAATAAAAATACACACACGTAAAAGTACACACGAAGGCACATGCCTACATTGAATAGAAAAGTTTTGACGTAGAAATTGTGTCTAGAATTGTCATCAACTTTCTCACCGGCAGGATGTTGGAAATGTCAATGGGCGGCGGTTATCATTTAACATTAACCATCGAGTTGAAAGCACCCTCTCCACAAGCCGCCGCCTCACGGCCGGCGTACCACAAGGCTCCTGCCTCTCACCTTTGCTCTTTACGCTCTATACGAGCGATATACCTAAAGACCCCCACGTCACTCTCGCGCTTTTCGCGAATGACACGGCGCTCTTTTATTCAGACCGCAACCTTAGACAACTAACCGCTCGACTCCAAAGCGCTGCCGACCGCCTCGGCGATTGGTTCCGCAAATGGAGAATAGAAATAAATCCCGAAAAGAGTGTGGCGATTCACTTCACACGAAGTACTTACCCGTCACATCTTTATAATGGCCCTCATCAATGCAGAAAGTTGGGGCAAATATCCCTTTATGGCCAACCGCTCCCCTGGAAGAAAAAGGTCAAATACTTAGGAGTAACTTTCGACTCGCGTATGTCATTTAATGCGCACATTAATAACGTTCGCAATAGAGCCGCGTTCGTCTCCGGCCGGCTACACAATTTAACTAACGCTAAAAGTAAAATGCCCTTAAGGCACAAATTATTATTATATAAGACCTGCGTACGACCTATTATGTCTTACGCATGCATGACCTTCGCCCACACGCACCCTACTCGCTTTTACAAGTTGCAAATAGTACAAAATAAGTTCATCCGCCGCGCAACCGATGCGCAGTGGTATCAACGCAACGTCGACCTGCACAGCGATTGCAGACTCCCAACGATTCGCGAATATTTTAAAGACCTGACCAAACGGTTCTTCGATAGAGCCGAACATCATCCCAACCCTCTGGTGGTAAGCGCAGCAAATTACCAACCCGACCAAAACGCGAACGTCAACAAGCGTCGCCCGCGAAACGTCCTAATCGACCCGGTCGAGGAAGGGGACTTAGACACGCCGGACCCACTGCCGGGGGTCCCGCCGGACAACACTACACCCACAGTTAATGCAACAACAAACACACTAGTTCGCCCTCGCCTCCGAGCACGGCGAGACCAACACAACGCGTACACAAGGTACACCCGCGTTCCGGGGCGGTTCTCACCGCCCCCAGCCACCGATTAGCTAATTGCACAGTCGATGGCCATCGGGGTTTCGGTCCGAACCACGACCTCGATGGCCCTTAGATGACGTACCATAGTTAAACGCACGCATGAGCACATGCGTGGCCCTACCCACAGCGGAGGGCCCAAACCCGTGGGTTCTGGCTAGCCCACCGGTTCTGCGTCAGATGAAGCTTTAATAGTCTCGGGACTGAAAGCAAAAACATCAGTTAATACAAGATGCAAGATACAAGACATTAACCATTAGCTCGTTTGCCACCTCCTCATATAAAAAAAAAGTATTTCAGTACTGATTCTACTTTTCCACGAGACTATGGCACTTTCCCGACGAACTCACTCATCAGAGCAAGAGCCAGAACCAGCAAGGTGCAACGAGCTCGCGAACGCTTCAAATATTCCCGCGGATGGGAAACGTGACACGTCACGTCAGAGGACGCGGCGTGACCGGAGCGAACGTGACAACAATGTCACGGCGTGACGCGGCGACTTCGCATGGTTTCGCCGTCACGCCGTCCCATCCGCGACTCGTCAAGCGTTTCCAACGCTCGTGAGCAGAGTCTGTTTATCAACCGAATTCAAAAGAGGAGGGTTACACTTCGGTTGTGTTTGTTTTATGTGTCACCTCAGAACTCCGTCGTTTATGAACCGATTTTAAAAATTATTTTTGCATTGGCTTCGGTTGAGCTTCTATGTGGTCCCATATTAACTCCGGTGGTATTGGTACTTGCACTCGAGAGATCAGGGACCTGCTCAAAAAATCTCAATTCCTGGTACAGTTTACATGATATTTTGCCCCCCGACTCGTAGTATAATAGGATTCACTGAAAACCGGCGCTGTGGTTACCGCCGCAGCAATTGCCGAGTGAATACCCATTTAACATCGCAGTGCCTAACTATTATCCATACTTTTTTTACCTGGATGTCTTATTTTTTTTCTTTGTAATGTTAAATAAACTTCTTTCTTTCAGAATAAAGTAGGAAATGTGTACAATGAGACATTTGATCACTTCAGTTTTTCGTTAGTAAAAATGTACTTGTTTCGCTTAGCGCTCGCGACGGTTACATTAGAGAAGGGACCAAAATAACGGTGTCCGTGCAAGCGAGCCGTTCCGTAACTAGAAAATAGAAAACAACCAGATTTACTTCGGTTTACCTTTGAATAAACATGAAGACGAAGTAAAAGGAGCTGGGTCAGAGACCGCAAGTGAAAACAATGTATTGTCTTCACTTACTATCTTTTATCCTACTAAAGATAAAAATACCTAAAATAATGTAAAATAATTCGCGGAATGACTCTTGATATTCGTATATCTTAATCCGTGACTGGGGAAGGTTCTCGTGTATGTGGTAGGGCCACGAAACAGCTTCGGCTACACATTATAATGAAGTTATTTACTAACATTATTGGTATAATCAATAAAATGTTATAAACAATATAAATTCATCAAATGATACAAAAAGAACAACCAATAATAAAGGTCCTGCGGTCAGGACTGCATTCCCAAAATTTTCGGCCATCACTGAAAATCAGCGTTGCAGTTTTTCCTGCAACATTCTGATGAGTGGTGTCCTTTTTGCCATGAACTAAGACGAACAAAAACCAAAAGGGAAAAAAATACATATTGGAGGTTTATGCTTTATATCAATGTTTTTTCAATGTCTGTTTTGTGTCTAATAAATCTCTTTCTTTCTTCATTTCATATTATTACACCTTGAATTACTTCGTCTGGTACATACGAAATAATAAGAACAGATAGACACGACAGCGCGTTATTGAATACGCAACGAAATCAAAAAAGCAACATCATATAGCAAAAAAGGAGAGCTTCCATTACTAAAGTTAATGGACGTCGGTACAGCGCGTACTGTGGCGTAGTTTTCGGCGCAATTATGGTTTCATGTTTCCCAAAGATTACATTTGCGCTGATGTTATAATGTGGTTAAAAATAACGATTTTGGGACGGTCAAAAAAAATTCGTATCTCGGATTTCTTTTTAGGTTTTTTAGGTTTTTTTTATGTGAAAAGTTGTCAAGCGAGTCCCTAAGTAAAACAGGCAACTCGAGGGGGTTGGAGATGCGTTTATGTAATGTTTTCTTCGCGATCAAACTCGATCAAGACTTTTATTATGAAACATTTTCCTAACTGTAGGATTAACATTATCCCGTGTTGTAAGGACGTTTTACAAGCATTAACTTCACTTGGACAAACACCCGAATCCGTTTGAACAACAAACACCTGAATTATCTGTGGCTCATACAAATAGACGTCCCTTGTGGGAATCGAACCCACGACCCCCAGCGCCGAAGCCATTGCCTAGGCAACAGCGCTACGGAGTCATCGGCCTTTAGAAACTCTTAGAAGCAAACTTGCTTACGGCTGTATTACAACATCAACAAAGCAAGCTCTGAGTCCCTTGACCCTAATGGGACAGACCGATTTGGCTTATGACGTAAGTCGTCTCAAGCTTTAGACCCTGTAGCTAATAATATTAACTGTAACCGACACAACAATACCTCTAGTACATTTAGCATTTGTTACATTTTACACTAGCGACCCCGCCCCCGCCTTAAATGTGTTTTATCTAATTGTTTTCGCATCAACGGATCAAGAGTCGTAGATGTCCATGGGAGGCAGTAATCATTTAAAGGTGAACGGTCTGCTCGCTTGGCAAATGCTAACACAGAGAAATGCTCGAAACACGCTCGGACCGGCTGGAATGGAATAAAGGAAAAAATGTATGCAAGAATCGCCAATACATCCAGACCAGATACAACGCTCCAGTCATATAATCGGTACACTGCGATGTGATAACACGATGTTTGCGTTCTCTTTGCGCGAGGCAACATATAACATAAGTTACGAGCGCGTTACGTTCGTCTGTTTGTTCTACTGCGCGAATTTGATAAGGCATCGGTAATTTTATTATGATATTTCAACTAGTTTGTTAGAATACGCAATTATTTATTTATTTATTTATTTATTTACAAACTTTTTGTACTAACTGGTACAAACAGCGGGCTTAATGCCATAAGGCATTTTCTACCAGCCAACCGGAAAGTTAGTGAGAGAGAAGTGTAGGTGCTAGCTATATAAGGATTATATAATATGTATACATACATTAAGATAACAATTATTAAACACTTACGACAATAAATAATATTGTAAAAAATAAATAATATAATTTAAATAAATACTATTATAATAGTTAAATATATATATATATATATATATATACGTACATAAAACTAATGTGCACATATAAAAAAATTATATGTGCAGTAGAACAAAGGTAACCTACCACTTCTGAGCTATAGAAGATTAGTAAGCTTAACTGGCATTGGGCCGGCCATATAGATCGAAGAACCGATAAACGATTGATAAAAAAGGCTCTCGAGTGGCAGCCTCGTATCGGCCATCACAATATAGGCAGTCCCCCCCACTAGATGGAATGACGACTGGATGAAAATTGGTCGACGACATCAAAACGATCGCAGGAAAATAGTGTATGCGATCCGCTCAGGACAGGGATGAAGTGCGCAACAGGGAGGGGACATATGCCCAGCAGTGGGCTGATACGGGATGATGATGATGAAGTCAAACACACGCAGAGCAAATGGTACGGCCGGACTTGGCCCTGCATCAAATTTTAAAGCCTGCCGCGTTACTCTCTCACGTCTCAGTTCCAACTGGTCGCTGACTTGGTGCTGGTGCCACACGCGAGTTTAACACTTAAACACAGCGAACAGGGGCGAGTTTCGCTTGCGCTCTACCACCACGGGATCGAGCTAATCTCCTTACTGAAGACGGACCTCGGTACTTAGGAATGTTTAATCTCGTCTGATGTCATCGATCGATTGGTGTCGTTATATGATACGAGATTGAAGCAGATATGTAATAAAAACGGTTTGTAGGCTTTTTTGTGCACAGTTCGCGCACGGACTGTGATATTTGGTATAGTTAAAATTAGAAATACGACGAATACAAGAAGTACTTTTTTCTATACATTCACTGTCAATGACAAGCAAACGATAGTCTGAGCAGAAACAGTTGCACGAATGGAGATTGTCGCATCAGATTGATTGAATGTTTCGAGAGAAAAAAATTAAAATTTAATGGATTTCGATCGAATTTCGACACATATAAATAATACTAAATAGAAACACAATTACGATTATTAAATTTGCTGGCAAAAATCTCTTGGCAGAATCACCCCTAATTGGGCTAATTCGGCAACGGCAAATTTCATCGAAATCATCGATAAAAATGTACTTCTTCAAAACAGAGAAAGAAGAATAGATGTCAGCAGATGACAGCATTCGCTGTGATTCTAGTGTAAACCTGCTAGTAACTTCTTTGATCGTGCTAAAGGCGGCATATCATAGACACAACATTGCCAATAAAGCTGCAAAAGCGTCAGTCAATATTTGGTTTAGTAACATTAACGGTGTTTTAATGTGATGACTCGATGGCACTGATGTTAAGCTATTGGCTTCGGCGTCGAAGGTCCGAATCCCAAACGGGACAAATATCTGTGTGACCCACAAATAATTGTCCCGGATCTGGGTGTTCGTTTCCCAGGCAGGCAGTTTGTCGTCAGGCAGGCGGCCGGTCGTAAAAAAACATAACCAAACCCGCTTACAACATGATGATACACAGTATAAAACGCGATAAAATGTGTGTAAAAGAACTGGAATAAAAATATGAAGCTATACATAATCATCATCGTCATCATTTCAGCCTCTTCGAGTCCACTGCAACAGTGAACAGGCCTCCCCCACAGATTGCCACGAAGTACGATCCTGAGCCACCTGCATCCATCGACTTCCCGCACACTTGCACAGGTCATCATACGATCTAGTGGGGGTCCCCCTACATTGCGAAGGCCAGGCTGACTCGAGAACCTTTCTGCCCCAACGTTAATAGGTGCTACGAGCCACATGGCCGTTTCTATTAGTAAAAGTAAAGTATCAGACTATAAACGTCCCACTGCTGGGCGAAGGCCTCCCCTGTACAGAGAGTATCAGGGCATTGTCCACCACGCGGCTCCACTGCGGATTGGCGGACTTCACATATCTTCGAAACATTTATCTTTATTATTTCGAAAATATGCAGTTTTCCTCACGATGTTTTCCTTCACTGCTGAGCACGTGATAATTCCTCAGTGAAAATTAACAATTTCATTGGTCCGGCACCGGGGATCGAACTCAGGTTGCTCGAGTATATTGAATGAAAGGCCAGCGCCCGGACACTGAGCTATCATGGCTTTTATCACGGTTTCTATTAGGTAGTACAGATTTATTTTCGTTTTGCGCAACAATAGAAACAACTGCGTGGTTCGAATACAGCGAAAATATTAGCTTTATCGCGAGCGAAACGGTTTCAGAGAAACGAATGCGAACGAACCATACATCCCTCGGCTCCTAGTCAGCGCGTTATAATTAAAGGAATTAAACGCGGACGACGTCCCAGTTTCACACGTGTTACCAAGCGCTGGCCATACGGGGCGCATCCAGGGTGACCTATCGTTTGTACACAGGTGGACATTCC